GAATGCTTGGCCTTGCTAAATGATGTCAGAAAGAGGGCCTGGTAGTGATGGTGGTGGTGGTGGTGGTGTGTATGTGTGGTTGTGTGTATGTATGTGTATGTGGTGTGTGTGGTGTGTGTGGTATGTGTTGTGTGTGTGTATATAGATGGTATGTGTGGTGTGTATTATGTGTGTGTGGTATGTGTGGTGTGTGTGTATGTGTGTGTGTGGTGTGTGTATGTGTGTATGTATGTGGTATGTGTGGTGTGTCGTGTGTGTGGTTGTGGTATGTGTGGTGTGTGGTGTATGTTATGTGTGTGTATGGTATCTGTGGTGTGTGTATGTGTTGTGTGAGTATATTAGCAGTCGTGGTGTGTGTAGTGTGTGTGTGTGTATGTATGCATGTGTGGTGTTTGTGTGGTGTGTGTGTTCTCCAGAATGTAGCTTACCTTGGATATTTTAATGGAGAGAAGTCCCCTCTATTTGAGTGATACTAGAGTAAATATAATTGTGGTCTCTTCCCTCCAAAGCCGTCAGAATATACACAGCTCTGAAAAAATCCGCAAAAGATCCAGAAGGAAGTTGAAAATGGTTCTCACCAGTGCCTTAGTTTTATAAGAGGAAGATTTCTGTAAGCAGGAATGAGCAGATGGGATTTCATCTGTATCTTTGAGCAAAGCGTACATCTCACAAATCAGCGTGAGGGAGGAAGGCTTTATGCTGGCTCTCAGTTGGAGGATGCCGGCCTTCGTGGCCAGGGAAGACACATCAGCAGAAGCAGCTCACAGCTGTGGCAGTAAGAATATGCAATGGTTTGTTTTTACCTGGGTGGATCAGGAAGTAGAGACCCAGTGGGAAGCCAAGGCATCCATAGAAACTTCAAGACCAGCCCCTTAGCATCCCATTTCCTCCAGCAAGGCCTTACCTTCAAACGTGCTACCAAGTAGTCTAACTCATGAGTTCCTGGGGAACGTGTACCATAATCTATCCCATGAAATGAATCCCATATGAGTCATACTGTCTGTGTCCTTGAAGAGCTATAAAAGGAAGAGTGTGTGGGAAAACGAATGTGGGATTGATCTCATGAGAAATGGAAGAACGCTTGTTCATAGTTCTCAGAAAACAGATTCTGTAGCCACAAGTGGGTGGCAGTGTGTTGCAGTCAAGAGTGCCCATGTACAGCGCTAGGCTAATAGAGACTGAAACCCAGACTTGTCTCTCACTGATGCACAGTGAACCTGGCAGGTAAAACTTTGGAAACAAATGGACCATGGCCCTATAAACACAGAACATGGCCAACGTCACAGGGTTGGGAGGAAGAGTGCAATCATGGGAGGACACTTCTGCAAGTGCAGGCAGGATCATTGTGATCACTCAGATGCCCAATGTCCCCACCTCTGCCTGCCCATGGGCCCGCACAAACTGCCAGAGGCCATTTGAGATACTTTGTCAATTTACTGCAACCAAGAATCACCAGCAAAGAGAGTCTCAGTGAGGGATTGATCTAGATTAGTTTGGTGTGTGTCTGTGTACACACACACACACAAGCATATTTTATGGTATATGTGTGTGTATGTGTGGTGTGTGCATGGTGTGTGTGTGTAGTGTATGTGTGTGTGGTGTGTGTGTGGTGTTTGTGTGATGTGTGGTGTATATGTGTGGTGTGTATGTGTGTGCATGTGTGTATGTGTGTGGTGTGTGTTTTTGTGGTGTGCATGTGTGTATGTGTCTGGTGTGGTATATATATGTGGTGTACATATGTATGTATATGTGTGTGTACATTTGGATTGTCTTGATCGTCTTAATTGGTATGAAAAGACCTAGACTAAAAATGGGCAATGCCATCCCTGGGTCTAGGGCCCTGGCATATGTAAGAGTAGAGAGTCTAGTTGAGCAGTAAGCGACCATGCCTTTCTCGTTGTTCTTTTTCTGCTTCTGACTATGGCTATGACTAGCTGCCTCGTGTTCTTCCCTTGACTTCCCTGAAATGATGGACTATAACCTGGAACTGTAAGGCAAATAAACCCCTTCTCCTTTAAGTTGTTTGGTTTTGTTCTATCGGGATGTTTTATGACAGCAACAGACACGAAACTAAAACACTGTACAAGGCAGATGGAGTCTTCTTCTCAGGCGAAGTTAGAGCCACTCAGAACACGTTTGCTGCATGGATTCACTCCCTCCAGGGAGATGCACACTCTGCCTTCTGCCCCTCCCTTTTCTCCTGGCTAGGAGGCCCCCATCACTTATCCCACTTAACAGAAGAGCTTGGTGATTTTAAGCAAACTCAAAATCCATAGCAACCACCTTCCCCAGGGTGGGTGCGAGACCACCAGCCTTGAGCCTTCTTGGTTACATACCTGTTTGTTTTGTACCTGTCTAAGACCGCTGGGTCCAGGGATTTGACCTCCTGCCCTCACACGGCTGCAAACAGTTCAGAAAACAGCCATGCAAGTGTCTGGTGGCTTGTCTCTCCTTTGGTTTCCTCCTGGAAACAGAACCAGAGCTTAATTGTGGTATTCAAGTGCCCTGAAGAGACAGATCAGGGGGAAAATGAACATCTGATTTCCAGAATAGACCCCATACCAGTGGACTGGAGATTATAAAACAAGTAGAACCCCCCCCTCCCAGGATACAGTGCATAGATCTACACTGGCTCCACCCTGGCCTCCAGTAGCTCCAAAAGAATGCTAATCCAAAATTGGGTCTGAGACTTTGTGTAATGCTTCCTCTCCCTCCCTAAGGGAAGTCTTCAAATATGCACACATTTGCTTGCCCACGGCCCAGACAGACTTAACTGGTACTTCATAGTGATACTCTATTCACGCTGGGAAATTCCGGGAGCCCCATCTGGGGTGGAGGCCTGGGTGGGGCACCAGGAGGAGCTGTGGCTCATCACGTCGGCATCATGTGGTGACGTCTTCTCTCCTCTCACAGTCTCTGTCTTTCTGAACAGTGGGGACTTTACCCCTTACTTGGAAATGTTGGCATTTCTTTCTCTTCTGTTTCTCCCTTGACTTCTCTTCCTCGAGGGTCTTAAGGATTCCATCTTCTTTTCTTTAGTGATTGATAGGACAGGATGCACGCTTGTCCGCAGAGGCGGTTTCCATGCTGTGAACCAGGGGCTGTTTTATTGTCCAGAGGGGGAGACATAGCCCTGTGTCCCTGTACCTTCATGGAAACCTGTATGCTTATGCTGAGTGAAGGCAGTCAGTTGGTTGTCCAGGCTTTCCAGAAAGCATGACAGCTGCCCGGATAGACTGCCTTGTGACAAGTTCTGTAGGAGAACTGAACGAGACCAGACTCTTGGCTAAACTAAGGGCGAGAGTCTCATGGTTTCCAAAGTCACTGCAAAAGGGCCTTATCAGGTATAATCAACAGTAGAAACTATTTTTTAATATCCCATTTTAAAGAGATTATGCATGTATGTGTGTGTGTGTGATATGAATGCCTTGTTTTGCTTGCATTCCTGTTGCCATGATAAAATATACTGACCAAAAGCAACTTCAGGGAAAAGGGGGTTTATTTCATCTCACAGTTCATCACCATGGGGAAATCAAAGCTGGAACTTCAAACAGCAGTTCCTCTCACAGCCACAGCCCAGAGCACAGAGAAATGAATGCATGCCTGTTGAATTGCATGCTTGTCTCCGCTCAGCTTGATTTATCTACTCCCATACTATTCAGAACCCCCTGCTTAGGAATGGTGTCACCCACAGTGGGCTGGGTATTCCCACATCGGTTAACATAGTTAATACAGCCCACCGCAGACCAACCCAAATGGCAGCCCAATAAACAGTTCCGCACTGCACTGAGGCTCTCCTTCCCAGGTGATGTTAGGTTTTGTCAAGTTGCCAATTGAAGCTAACCATTACATGCTGTTAAATTAAAAAAGAAATCCAATCTTCTGATTGTTTCCTACCCTAGTGTACTTTCTTAATCAAAGGGCACTAGTATATGTGACTTTGATCGTGTCCCATGGCTTTTCCAGGATTAAGTGGGATTAAGAGGGCCCTCATATTGCGGAGGCTGTCTCCTTGCTGAAGGACTGCAGGCAGGAGCCAGACCATCCGCTTTCAGAATGCTGTGGGGATAGCTGGGAGGTTCCCCTGTCCTTAGAGCACTCTGAAACATAGTATAGGGATTTTCCTTTGAGCAGACAGCCTGGTACTTATTGTTTCTCCCAGCAAGACATGACATCTTATTTTTTTTTTTCTCTAAAAGAAGCATTTTGGTGGCACAGTTGTCTATACAATAGTTCAGGTGCTATGACTAAAAAAAAAAAAAAATCCTGTCAAAAAGCAAAGTAAGGTAAGCAAAGTATGACTCATTAGGCTTATAATTCCAAGTTTCAGTCTATTATTGAGGGGATGGTAAAATCAAGAGCAGACAGAGTCCAGGGACCCTTGCCTGCTTGTATATTTGGTTCTTAGCTAGCTTTCTCTGTTTTTTTTTAAAGGATTTATTTTTATTTTATACATAGAGCAAAATTGTTTTCATGTGTACACTACATGCATGCTTGATGCCCATGGAGACAGAAGAAAGGGTCAGATCCCTTGAAAACGGGACTTCCAAACTGTTGTGTGTCACCCTGGGGTTCTAGGAGCTGAATCTGAGACCCCTGCAAGAACAGCCAGTGCCCTTAACATGTACAGGGCCCAGCCATGAAACGGTACCAGCCACCTTCGGTGTGCACCTTCCTTCTTCAACAATCAAGACAGCCCCTCACAGACATGGCCACAGGACAGCCTCATCTAGAAACTTCCTCATGAAGACTTTCTTCCCCAGTGATTCTAGGTTGTCATGTTGACAACTAAAACAGATGCTGAGGTTTTTCTGCTGTCCTGTTTAACTCTTGCTAAGACCAGCGGTTGGCTGGTCAATTGGAAACCCAGAGTCTTTGTCGCAGCCCACGGCTCAGAGGAGGGCACGGTCAGGACCCTGCTCTGGATCTACCTCTGGGTCGCTCCCTACATTGTGCTGTTCTGTATCTCCTGAAATTAAAGCTCTTTCTGTTTCTTCCAGATAACTTGTTCAAACCCAAAGAAAGGTGCATTTCAGAGAAGGAGATGCATATGCGGTCTAAAAGGTACGTGGCTCTTGCGGGAGGTGTGGAAAGAGCTGGGCGGGAGGCTTGAAGGGCCCTGATGCTGCCCCTCGGGTCAAGGCTTCCAGGCTCACATTGAAGGGCTGAGGTCATCTTGGTGGCTGAGGTAGGCAAAGTTGCCGGGCTGTGCATTGGAATGTTTATGCTGCTCCTGGACCAACCTTAGGAAAGCGGTGGGTCTTGGATTCGGGAGCGGGCCCATAATTGGTCCCTGAGTGATCAGCAGGTTCTACACTAGAACTCTACCAATGCATTTGCCTCGTGGCGCTGGGCAGAAGCCATGAGCCCATGAGCAGCGGCACCTTTGAAAGTCTTTTTACGAGGAGCAGAGAACCCGTTTCTATGGAGGGCCTTGACTGGGGCGGTCCTGAGGAAAAGCTTCCAAACTGGAAGCCAACAGAACATGGAAGCCAGAGGGGCCTCGGAGGGGCTACAAACCGGCATTTCTGGCATGTCTGTCTCCGGTAGTGTTGGCAGGGGCCACCAAGGTTCTCCCTGCTCTGCCTGGCTAGTCACTATCTAAGACTCCCACTGACTCTTACCACTCTGGGGCACACAAAGGCTACTATTCTTTTTTAGGACCTGGCCTCTTATCCAGGACACAAAAGCTCAGCAGGGTTGGCCATGTTCACACACATAAAATGTCATTAAGCTATAATAAAGTGCCTAGCCCTGGGAGAGATTATAGTAATTAAATCAAATTGATAGTGCACTCAGAGATACCACCGAAACAGGAAGAATAATTTTGCCCCCATTCCAGACCCTAAATCTCTGCTTTTATCGCGATTACGTTGTTTCCATAATAATTAAGTAACTTTTGGTTACCTACAGGGAACCTCTCTGAAAGTAAGAAAACAAGAATTGGGGGGGCATACCATTAATGATATGACTCCCAGCATTCTAGCCAGAGCTTATAAAGGATCCCTCAATTTGAAGACTCGCTGTTTCGTAAATGAAAAGTTGTATATACCTTGCAACAAAAGCGTTCTCTTCAATTTAATAGGAAAAAAAGAAAAGAAAAGAAAGAAAAGAAACAATTTCCCTTATTGATCCCCAAACCTAAAACTGCTATTACAAGCCCTTGCCCACCAAACAATTTAATTAATGGGCTTCAAAGCAGCATTGGTAGACAGAGATCTGTCCTGACATTTCTCTGAAGAAGAAACTGATGTTGAAGGAGCACCAGTAAGCTAGGTGATGCTGTATCTACAGTCTTCCATGGCCCTTAACTGGTGTCCTGGGATAGACTAAGCAATTGGATCTCCTTGCTAGTGGAATGTTCTGGCTGGGCTCTGACCCTGGCTCCCCATAGTCATCTGAAACTGCTTTTTCCTCATATTCCTTGTCTTGGATTATGTTGCTTATATTTTCATTTAAACCAAGCAGTAGAGTAAAACTGAAATTCCCTCAAGATCAATGTGCCCGCTGCCTTTGGCTCAGTCCCAGACCTATCTGCTAGGGTGCTCACAGTCTGTCTTCTTTCTCTTTCCCTTCAGAGCCTGCCATTTGTACCTTTAAGCAGCAGACACGTGGTCTTTAACCACATGTGGTATCGTGCTGTACTTGCCTTTCCTTCTATAGCTTGCTATTTCCTGGTGTCGTCCATGAGCTTTTCCAAGAGGCAGATTTCTGTCCTCCTAGGTTTTGCCTGTCTGCTCAGTGTATTTTAGGTGGGCATACTATTACATATCAGGCTTTCACTGGAGAAAGCAGTGCAGGGCCAGAGGTGGGACGTGGAAGCTTTTGTTTCCTCTTTCCAGTTGAGTTGGAGGGACAGCTCAAGGAGAGAAGTTTCTGGAGCTCTGGAACCGCCCACTTGAGGGCTTTGGAATCAACTCCTCTGTGATCTTCTCTCCTGGTCCTTGTTCAAATCCCACCTGACTGCAGCAAAGTTACATTCACACATTCACTCAACCCTCTTACCTATGAAGTGCCAGGCACTGTCAAATCACAGGCCCCTGCAGGGCTTTGTGAGTAGCTGTGTGCTACGTAGTTGGGGCACAATGCCCAACAGTGAGTAATAAGCATTCAACTTGAGGTCCCAATGCCAGCCCACCATTAGCCATCTGAGGGCTGTGCCCAAACCTCTTGCTCTTGTAGGGACTCATGCTTCTTATTGTATGACACAGGGACCCTATGTGCCTTTTCCAGCACTTGTGAGGGCAGAACGTGTTTACTCATGTCTGGTGACTAGCCAGATGTGACCTGCTGATACTGCCATTGTCCCTTCGCACTCTGCACTCATGCTTCTAAGTGCTGAACATCGCAACTGTGTTCCATCTGACTTTCATACAGAAGAGAAAATGAAGAAAAAAAAGGTTTTTTTTGTAATTCTATATCAATATATCTCTATCTCTATTTGTATCTATATGCCTACAGGATCAGGGTGAAATGAGTCCAATGTGTTGGAGAAAAATCAGGTAGCATCAGTACTGAACAGTTAGTGTTGGGGAAGAAGAAACCTTCTAGACAAGGGTCCCTTAGGTCCTGCTGGTAACTCAGAAGTTCGTAATTTACATGGGGAGAAGGACAAAATATTTGAGTCTGGAATGTATTTAGAATCAGCTTTTATCAGACATGCCGTAGGCTAAGAGGAAACGTTTTTTTCCCAGTATATGATTCTTGCTACTGCCATCCTGTTGTTCCTTGTCAAATTGCAGGAAGTCAAACATTGAATGGCCAAAAGATGGTTATACAGGAAATGTTGACTTTCAGAATGGCAAACCAGTAGGTTGATCATTGTTTAGAGGGAGACTGCTCGTTAATTTCCTGGCCACCCAGACCTGAATAATAACACAGAAACTATATTTATGACAACACTGTTTGGTCAATAGCTTAGGCATATTTCTAGCTAACTCATCTATTAAATTAACTCATTTCTATTCATCTGTGTATTGCCACGAGGCTGTGGCTTACGGGGTAAGGTTCTGCTGGCGTCTTTCTCCTTCAGCAGCTAATGGCGTCTCCCTGACTCCCCCTACTTTTTCTCTATATCTCTGTTCAGATTTTCTGCATGGCTTAACTCTACTAAACCACTGGCTGAAAGAGTTTCTTTAATAACCAATGGTAGTAAAACATATTCATAGCATACAGAGGGAAATCCCACATCAGAACATCCCTCCTTTTACAAGTGAGTCATTGTCAGTGCAAATACAGGATGAGAAGTGACTTCTACATAAATATCGGGGCTCCCCAGCTTGCCTGCTGTACTGCCCAAGTCCCGTCATTGAAACACTGTTCCCAGAATGTCTACATCCTGGGACCTCAGAGAAGGTCTTTTCTTTTTTTTTTTCAGGACTATGGATTTAGTATGGTTTATAAATATATTTAAATTTTTTTTATTTTTTTAATCTTTTATTGTTTTCTAATAAAATAAAATACAATAAGAAAACACAAAAGCCATCACACTGAAGTTGGACAAGGGAAACCAACAGAAATAAAAGAGCCCCCAAGAGAAGGCACTAGAATCAGAGACCCACTCGTTCACATAGTCAGGAGTCCTAAAAAATACTGAACTGAAAGCTGTGATATTTATTCAGAGGACCTGGTACAGACCCAAGCAAGCCCTGTACTTGCTGCTTTAGTCTCTGAGTTCATACAAGCTTTGCTTGGTTGGTTTAGAGGGCTTTGTTCTCCTGGGCTCCTCCATCCCCTCTGGCTCTTTCTGCCTCCTCTTCCGTGGGGTCCCCCATGTGCTCTGAGGGGAAAGGAGTTGTTCTTCAAGAAGCCACCTTACCATGTGAAGGCCCTACCTGTGCGCGCCTTCCTGCTGACGAGCCAGGCTGCCCGCACCCCTACCCCAGCACCTGCCGTCTTGTTCCTCATCCTGCCCTCCGTCTGTTTCAGAATCTATAATAACTTGCCGGAAGTTAAAAAGAAAAGAGAAGAGCAAAAGAAAAGAGTGATCTTACAGAGTAACAGACTCCGAGCAGAAGTCTTCAAAAAGGTAGCTCGCCTGGCGCACACAGGCGTGATGGGGGTGGTGCGCAGGAAAGGGGAATTTGACATCTTTGTTTCCGTTGTTCCTCCAGCAATTACTGGACCAGCTTCTTCAGAGAAATGCCGTCTGATCTCAGGTGGCCCTGCTAGCCACAGCCTAGATCTGGGAAGACGTCCGATGTTGGATGACCCATTAAACTTAACACTGTCTTCACATGTGAAAGATACTTTTATTTTACTTTTTTTTTTTTTTCTTTCGGAAAGACCCAAGGAAACAAAAGCAACAGCCCCGGAGTCAAAAGATCAGCAGTCCGTTGCTGGGACTTCTGTTACTCGGAACCTGCTTGACATACCACCCCACCCCCTTTTTAATTATTATTATTATTACTTTGACTTGTGAATTTTACCATTGCTTCTGAAGTTTCCAGTATACCATTTCCACCCAAGCAGGGAAGCTTTATATATTCAAGTATGCTTAGATATTGTTTTTTTTTTTTTGGAGGCGGGGTGCAGTGGGTTTTTTTTATTAAGTTTTTGAGAAGCAAAAATCTACCATATTTTAATTCCTAATCTTAGTGGCTGCCAATTCTGAAATCCAAAGTATGGCTCAAAGTCTGCTTATCATATACACCTTGGAGCACCAGAGGCTGACTTTGAAATGGACAGGCAAAGAGGCAGCACACAGGCAAACCCTAGAGCCCTCTGCCTCTCTTCCACCCCACCCCACAGTGCCTGCTTTTGTCAGCCAAAGCCCTTGTTTCAGTGAGAGCCTGAGAATGACTGGGTGAGGACATCAGTGGTTTCAGCACACACACACACACGCACGCACGCACGCACACACGCACGCACGCACACGCACACTGGAAGTTATCATGATCAAATGGCCTAGCAATACCCACCCTCATATTTTCTTTCAAGTATTCTTCATAAATATGCATTTGTGGAGTTAAGAGCAAATTAGTTTTTGCAACAAAAAAAATGGAAATAAATACAGCTATTTGAAATCCATGCATTTCTCTGCCATGTATTCTGCTCAGTGTGATAATACCTGCTACAACTCTCGGGTGACACCGAGTCTCTTTCTATTCCACCTCTGGTCACCATAAAAGTCCCTGTGTTTCTGAATGCAGGGCGGAAAAGGTTGCCTCTCAGGGGCTGGTGCAGGAGATGCAGGGATGACTGCCCAGGCAGCTTATAGGAGTCTAGAAACAGCAGGGACTTGGAGCATGGCACAGGAGCTCTGGTGACACCTCTGTCCCTATTGTAAGGTGACTCCCTTCCTCCCTCTCCCACCACTGCACATGGCCTCTCTTTCTAGACCACTGTCTTTTTTTGTATTTGTTGGCAAACTTACAAACTCTACCTGAGCGACCGTCTTGTCCTTGTGCTCTCTCTGCTGTGCCCTCCAGCAGCCAGTGCCTTCCCTTTCTCCTTCCTTCCGCTCGCTTCTTCCTTCCTTCCTTCCTTCCTTCTTTCTCTTCCCTTCCTTCACCAGCTCTTTGTTTCTTTGTGTGTATCTGTCTGTGTGTGTATTCAAATATGTTTGCTCACATGTTCAGATGTAGGTGTGTGTAGGTACATATGTGTTTACTTGAGGAGGCCAGAGGACAATCTTAGGTATCAAAGTTCAGGCACTAGCCATTAAAACAAAACAAAACCCAAAAAAAAGTTGTTGTTTTTTTTTTTAATAAGTTAAAAAAAAAAAACCCTCACTGACCTGGAGCTTGCCAAATAGACTGGGCTGATATCCCCTGAGCCCCAAGTATCTACATATCTCAGCCTCTCCAGCACTGGATTATAGGATGGCATTAAAAACAAAAAACAAAAAACAAGCAAATAAGCCAGGAGATAATAATACACTTCTTTAATCCCAGCACTGAAGAGGCAGAGGCAGGCAGATCTCTTGGTTCGAGACCAGCCTGATCAACAGAGCAAGTTCCAAGACAGCCAGGTCTACAAAAAGAAACCCTGTCTTAAGTAGACCAACCAACCAATCAAATAACACCAAAACCATAGCCTATGGGGATCCAGCCTGGTTTGGTGTGTTTTCCCTGCCGTGAGCAAATCATCTCCTCTGCCTAGACTCTTCCTTTGTGTTTCATTGTGCATGCCCCTCTCAGAGGAAGCAACATGACAGAATCGTTAGGACCAGAGGCTCTGCCAGGCCACTATTGTTCCTGCTCTGTGGCTTTGGGTGGAGGTGCCAGCCAGTCAGGTTCTAACCAGGAGAGAAACCACAATTATCTGGGGATTTTCAGTGGATTGAATTATTTACTGAGTAGAAAATTGTCTAGTAAGAACTGTAGCAGATCTGAGGAGCCCAAGTAGCCACAGAAATAAAGGAGCCGCTCTGGAAAGGTTGAGGTGTGACTCCATAGATGACGGATTTTTTTCTTTTTTTCTGAAAATCCATCCTCTGAGGTTTGCCAGAACCCTGCCCTGGGATGTACGAGGTTGAGCCCCTCTGCTACAGCAGCTGTCGGGGGCTGGGAGGAGGGGTATCGGGGCTTTGCAGGGCCTGGCCCAGGAACCCGCAGAGCTGTATCTCTTCAGCGCCCCCTACTGACAACGTTTAGCATTTTCCAGCAGCCTAAGGGAGAAAGAGCTGGAATCCATTTTAACTGAGCAAATAAAAAAAAGGGTTGATTTGGAGGTGAAAAGGCGAATACAATGAAGAACGAAGACCTGGCACAGTTGGTTCTCTAGCATTGCCTCAGTTTCCTTAATTGCCAGATGCTAAGTGAGTTTAGTGCCTTCTGCATGCTGTTGCTATGGAAATAAAGAGGATGTGAGTGGAGTGTGTGGAAGGATGCCTGGCCCAAAGCAAATACATCGTGAGTGTTTCCTGGCATGCACAGAGGTGGGAGGAGGCGCACATGGGCCATGAGATGGTTGAGAGGGCTTGGCAGTGAGATGCTCCAAAAGGCCATTGAAGTTGGCTTTGCTACAGCTGGTCGGTCCTGTAAGCAGAAAGTCTTGTCACAAAGTTTGGTTGGGGGCTGAGGAGGTGACTTCCTCGGTAGAGGCTTTCCCTAGGCCTGACAACGCGGGACCCACAGAGAAGAAGGGAGAGCCAATTCACACAAGCTGTCCTCTGGACCTGCTCACGGGCACCAGGGCATGTGCTTGGCATGCCCAGAAGCACACAGAAGCAGTGAATTAATAAGTAAATAAGTGCAAAATGTTTGGAAAAAGTAAATCTTGGTTAGTTGGTTTTAGCTTTTTGAGATAGAGTTTCATGTAGTCCAGGCTAATTCTGAACTCTCTGTGTAGCAGAGGCTGGCCTTGAATTCCTGATTGTTCTGCATCCACTTCCCAAGCTTTCGGCTTCTTGTAAGCTTACACGGGCTTTCCACATTCCTGTCACCTTGGGAACCATTTCAAAGCAGCTCAGCAAAGAGGCGCTTGGTGGTTTTTGTTGTTTTTGTACAGTTGGGGCCTCTTCCAGTGCTCCAGTGAGTTCCTATGTTCAGCTTAGTCACTTTTTGAAAAATACACATTTTAAGTCAAATTTTGGATAGTTAAGGACAGTCTTTCTTGGATGAAGATCTTAAGACATCTGTCCTTACTTTTCTTTAGTATCTTCAGTGTATATCCAAAGCTTTTCCCGTGCATTCAAATTCAGGGCCCAACTATTTCCAGACTGTTCGGTGATCCTTAAGGAGGTGAATTTGGGTCAGCTAACATTTTAAAGAAAGAATGCTAGATGGAACCAAATTTTGCAAGAGTTCATAAAATACTCACCTTCAAGGCAGATGTGCTGCAGAGACTTGAAATGTAAAGAAGCAAGTGTCAACCATAAATTAAATGATACTGAAGAGTGTGCCCAAGGACAGCTCTTCACTAAGGTCCCAGGAAGGGGAACTGGGTAGGAATATGGGGTCTGGTGTAGGGACCAGACCATTTCCTGTGGACCAGCTGGCTCAGCACAAAGCAAAACATCAAAATTTGGCTTCCTGTCGCACTTGGTTTCTTATTGTAGAATTTCTTCTAACACTGATGAATGAATTTGACATGGTCTGAGTTTCTCTTCTGTCACAAAGTAGTAACAGAAACATATGATGTTATGATCAATATGGAAATCAAGGCCTGCAGAATTAAAACAGCCATCCCTTCCCTTCTCTCGGGAACTGGCCACCATTTGCTGAGTGATTTTATTAAACTAGGGCCTCAAGGAAGACTCTAGAGGAATTGAAACTTCTAATTAGACTTTGCCATAGTAACTTTAGTAATCAAATTCTTCTCGGACTGTGGTTTATTTGGATCTGAGGATAGTTTGGGCCCAGGACGGAGACAAACTTTCAGTGATGTAGGAGGCAGGGGGCTGAGGGTTTCTAAGGAAAGAGTCCTGAGTCCAGACCAGGCGACCTTTGAGATCCTTAGAGATGTCCAGGTGGTAAGAGAACCGCGCTGTCTCCCGGTGGTCCCCAGGACTTCCTGTGGAAGGAGCAATTCCGATTGGGGTTATGCATCCTGCCTGCCAGCTGGTAATGGAATAATGGGAAAACAATTGTCTTGGCTCTTCAGCCAGCGTCTGTTGCCAACCCAACTTCCTGGAAGTTGTGAGCTCCCCGGGTGAGTCAGCAAATGCTTGCTCAGAAGACTCTTTGAAAGAAGTGCTTGTGAGGCAGTCAGTCATGAGAGAGAGGGCGAGATTTCTCTGTCTCGCAAAGTTCCAACTTTTCAACACTTACTGGCCAAAAGAAAAAAAAAGAAAGAAAAAATTTAGTCAGGCAATGGATCTGGCCTCTGAGTGTATCCGATGACCCACAGTCTGAGTATGAGGCACAGTGGATGCAGGGTGACGAGAGAGGAGGGGGCAGGATGTGTCTGCCCGGGAGGGTGATCTAATCATCACTACAGGAGAGTTTCTGGGTCAGGCAACTGAGAATGTGGTAGAAAAATGATTGTTACAAGTTGATAGGAACTCACTTGTGTGCACTCTCGCCGCCGAGGAAGGGATCTGCTAAGCGATTAAAATGTGTCCATCAGCAGATTGTTCCACAGGATAGGGTTACATGAATTTGTACTTTCATCAAAATTGCCCGCAAGTGTGTAGTTCTGTAGAAACCTTTGAGCTCTGCCACCACGGGCAGACGCAGCTCATTCCTGGAACTGACGAGCTTTAGAAGTTCCTCTCGCTAGCTCTCTTGCCTTGCCCCGTACTGCCGGGACATTGCTGGCTCATGCTGCCAGAGCAGGCTCTGCAGCAGTTCCTTGTGATTCTGTGGCATACCCTCCCCCTGTCACACACACACACTGTGACTTACTTCAGAGGGACAAAACCCTCCATCAAGGCAGACTCGTAGTCACATGGACCGCAGCAATGACAACTTTGCAGGTCTCTTCACAATTCCAGGGCTTTTCTTCAAGTTGCATCTGTTGTCTCCGTTGAAGATTTGACCTGAGGTCTTCATCTGGAGTGTGCACAAAGGAAGGGAAGAAACGTGGGAATTCTCCCGTTTTGTTCTCTTCTCTGAAAATGTCTCTGGACACATCCTGAATGGCACCCGCCTGGCCCATGGTACAGCCAGAAAGGTGACTTCGACTAGTAGCCTTCCTCCCAGATCTAAGCACCTCAGGACCTTGGAAAGGACCTGGGAGGATATCTGGGAGGGGACCTTGGAGGGGATCTGGGAGTAGGAAACTTGACTTACTCAGAGTATGTCCAAAGAATGCAGTATTATTAA